CAGGCAGACAGACAGACAGAAATGTAAAAAAATAGTGTTTTTCTTATAAGTACCGTATATAATTTCATACGCATTTAGTAAACCGCTGTTATTTTGACATTACAAACAGACACTTCGATTTCATTTATCTCTATAGATTAAACATAAAAAGCCAGAATTAAAATAAGGAGGTTTCATAATTTCCACACAAGCATCGTGATTTTTAAGATTCTTTCTGGTTTTCTGTCGTAAATCGATAATATGTAAATATAAGCTTCAAATTGTTGAGATTAAGAGAACTTTAAAATAAAACCATAAATAATAACACTGACCGAGTGTGAATTGAATCAGCGGCTTGCAACCGCTAATTAAACGTCTACTTTATTGTATACGTAACACAAATACATATATATTTTGATTTTTATGGTAGTACAAAATGTATGTATGTATGTATATCAGTGGCGACGGGCCCATACAAGATGCCTTACCTTAAAATTATTTTATGTATATATTGCAGGTATATCCATGTTGAATAGAATTTTTCTGTTCATATTTAGTTTGGTTTAAAAAAAGCAACTGGAAATTTTAGAAAGAAATCTAATGCTAAATTATAAAATTTTAAATATCACTACCTATACTGTAACTGGACTATTCGGTGCTCGGCAGTTTATTAATGAAAATCGATTATTGCGCTAGATGTAGGTCGCAACTACAGGTGACCTTTTTCAGGAATATGTAAAAGGTTAAAAGCTTTCACAGAGCATCAGTTAGTAAAAAAAAATGTATAGCACTTTAAACTTCATGAAAAAAAGATTTAGAATTCGTCGACCTGTCTGGTAAACTTAAAATGTTTTTTTTTTATTAAAACGTTATCTTTTAGAAGCTTTAAAGTTTTAAGTCTAAACAAAAAATCATTATGAATAAATCAGTTTACGTCTACTAATAATTATTAAAATTATTTTTCTCTTAAATTAGGGGTTATTTTTTACATTTTCTTTTGAATTCTAATTTTTTATATATTTTGATTATATCTGCGTGATTTGAAAGAGAGATATTATCAAAGTTCATGTCGAGCATTGACATCCATCCTCTTTTCTTCATCTATGAGATTATTCCATATATGAGATTATTTTTTATGTTTAACGATTGTATAATTATGAAATGATGCATGTTTTAAATTATCATATATTATTAATTTCTGATTCAATTTATATACAATTTAATTTATATAATATTCCCATAATTTTTGTATTTATTTTAATTCGCTACTTGTATTTGTGTCTATCTTTTATGAAATGTGTGTAACACCTGTAATTAAGGCAGCACTTAGAATTTATTATTTATTGTAATTATATTATTATGATTTTGTGTGTGTCTTGTTGGTGTTAATAAATAAATAAATAAAAATAAATAAATATAGTTACTAGAGGTTTTTCATAACCCACGTAATTTAAAATAATATTAAGACTATGATTAAGTCAATTTACAACCAAACTATTTGTATATTATTAGAATTTTATATTGTACCTAGTTTCCCACTGCATATGCCGTGAGAACGCTACTTTTTCAGGGATTTTAATTTTTTATTAATTTATTATATAATTAAAAATACCTTAAATAATGTTACCTATTACGGTACCCATTCCCAGTCGTTCTAAAATTAAAATTAATATCCATCGAATATTTTCATATACCAAAAAATGTGCCTTAAAATTTCTATATTTAATATTATCCTCTCTCATGAGATTTTTCTATTTGCAGAATAAAACGTAACTAGCATAGGTCCGATTTCGTAATGAAAGATCATCATGATAGACATACCTACTTTCCCATATTTATTTACGCCGGTGAAAATTTTTCGATAGATTAGATAAATTCTTGAATAAACGGATCGACTAACGTATATGAAATTAATGATTTAGAAATAGCGAGTGCCTCACAGATTATTGCATTTCTATCACTTTATATTTATCACAATCTATACATATAATAAAATTGTAACTAAGTCGAATCTGTACATTAAATATTTTTTGGAAAATCTAATTGAAATTGACATTATTATCGATACAGAGTCCGAATCTATAGTTTTTAGAATTTTTGTCTGTCTGTCTGTCTGTTACCGTATCACGAGAAAACCACTGGACATATTTTGATGAAATTTGGTATGATGATCGCTGGTTATCCGGGTCAACATATAGGACTTTTTACCGCGGCAAAATATCTCATTTCTGAGAAAAAATACAAAAACTGCATTGTAAGAGTATACTAATATGTAAAGCCTAAGAATTTGGTTTTTCATCATCTCAACGCGGGCGGAACCTTGGGCAATGCTAGTAAAGGTATACAATATTTTCAATAAAAATATACACTGCCTTTATTTTATTAAAATCTAAAGAAATCATTGTGCAACGCAGTAACCAGCATCAAACACACAGCATTCTGCGTTCCGTTAAATGTTAGCATAAAATTAGTATTATCTTCATGAGATTAATAATAAAATATATAATATTTCGCTAATTTCGTCATGAATATTAAATATTTAAATGAGGTAAACTAGCATTATCATTTATTTAATCCGTCGTAATATTGTCGAAACAGCTAAGATAAATGTAATGTGCAATAATCATATTTTTAAATTTAAATAATAATTAATTAGTAAAACTGAACATTACCGTTAAAAACTGTTGGTATATAACAATTTATTCATTGTAATTTAGTAGATTTCTAGAAATTTATGCATACATACTTTGTTTTCGATATAATCAAGATTATCGTATCGTTATATAATAAATTGGATAAAAGTCCCTAAATAAAAAGAGATAAAAAATATAATAATAATAAATTCTAAAATAGACTGTCCTTGTCATATTTAAATGATCAAAAGAGATGAAAAGAGTTAATTATAAAATGGATGGGAATATTATATCTACAATAAAATTTCGTATTTTAAGAGTAACATAGAGAGAGAAAGAGATAGCGAAGTTTAAGGGATTAATTTGAAAATATGATTATTTTATACTCAGGTAAATATATTATAAAAAAAAATCGAGACAATTTTTTTACATTTGTTTCACTAAGTTATGTTATTTTCACAATTTCGAAATATACTCCGTTTTCGTCTTTAAAAAAAAATATTTTCATCATTTTAAATCATTATCCTTGCCAATTCGAAGGCAGCTCCAGCTTCAATTACGCTAAGGCATTGTATGTACATATTTTTAAGGTCTTATATTTAGCAGTAGTTAGTAGGTACTATATTATTTTAAGTTCTTGCCCTTGCAAAGAAAGCGCTTATATAGTACCTAATATATATATATATATATAATAAAAAATGCGTTTGTGGTTTGCTTCGAACAAATGAAGACTATAAATGGCAGATTAAACTGTTTTCGAATAGAATACGGATCCTAACTGCGACATTCACTTGAACAAATTTAAATTTATAAATATTATTGTGCATTCATTTAGATTGCCCTTGAAAGTGACACCTGTATGTATATACATATAGTACATATGTATATATAGAAATACCGATTGTTAGGTGATGATTTTTCATTATTATATTATACAGACCAACATTAGTATATTTAAGTTAATACAAAAATTGTAATAAATAACAAATTAAAAGACGATATCTTAAATTTTAAGGCAAAGGAAGGCAAATTTATTGCGGGAATTTATTTTATTTATCTTTTCGCTTAGAAATTACAGTATCACTGAGTCTAAACTCTTAACATGACTTTAGTTATTTGTCATAACGTCACGGGCGCCTTACCTTGTACTGAACCAGCAATAGCAGATATATAATTTGACTTCACAGTAAAAATATATAATAATAATAATGAGGTACCAATATTAAAAGATGTATGTAAATATATTATTAATATAATAAAAGGGAGCATAAAAATAAAATTCAAATTGTATGTATTTTGTAATTTATTTAAAATTTCTTCAATATAAGAATATGTCCGATTCCATCTATATAATACAAGCATTTCAAAAAGGGATAATACCTACAAAAATGACAACCTTCTGTATCTTTAATATGGACTCTTACTCATCAATTCGTGTGCACGGCACGATGAAAAATAAAAAATTACCAAATCTTTGCTATCTCTGCCAAGTCAAAATTTAGAATTTTATAAATAATTTTTAAATCTAAATGCCATCTTTATTTTATTTTACAGCGATGAAGTTTTTCTTGTGTAACAAATACATGTCAGAGTTGGTACATTGCACCCTCTTGAGGTTGTAAAAATAAAATGTAAGTAAGTGTAGGCACACTCTATTTACAAAAAAAAATACAAAAGTAAATAATTCATTCGTATATATATTTACAAAGAATTCTTTCATATAAAAGTCTCTACAAAATATAAACACACATTGTTCATATTGCAATTCACATCCCACACCGAGACCAATAAAAGATACCGAAAGGTTGAAAATGTAACGCGTTCAATAAATAGATTTACTAATGGACTATTTACATATGCTGCGTGGCGAATATCTGGTTAATTATTCCGTTAGCAGAAATTTTTAAAATAAAAGCCTATTATACATATTTTAAAATAATGGACGTGACTACACAACTTAGTATTGCCAGGTTTATACTTTATAGACGGTGTTTTCATTCAATTCTGTTTCAATTCAATATTTTAAAAGTTTTGTTTTTCAAATAACAGCATTAAAGTTAGAATAGACAGTATATACAAAACTTTCTAAAAAAATTTTTTGTGATGTGTCCTTATAACCGATGCATATAATAATACCTGGCAACACTCGTATGAGAGCAGTTATTCTGAATTAAATTAGTTGGTGAGATTCTATAATACAACGGATAGTTTAGATGGAACAGACTGAGAGATTTAATAAAAAAACTTCGCACCACAGAAATTGCTTATAGGATGAGAGCTTTATAAAAAAAGCAAGTACAGAATCACATGTAAACTTGTAACAGACGCCGAACACGAATCGCTATGAATCGCGCTATGCAAGATGTCGATGCCTTAGAAGGCATATTAGAGTATTTGGAAGAGTTTCTTCAATTCCACCATCAGTTGCCAATCGGTCTTAATGAGGTCATCCCTGAAGTAGTCCTTGCAAGCGTCGATACTTGCGCGTGAAATCTGCAACAAAGAACGTTCATCGATTAATATCATTATGGCGTAAAATAACCAAGTTAACTAATCACATTGCAATGAAACCAACCCTAAATCCTTACCGAGCAAGATAAATAAAAATATATAATTTCAACAGGAATATATTTTTTATTAATCACTAGCATTGCCCGCGGCTCCGCCCAGGTTCAGATGACCAAAAACTAAATTCTTAGGTTTTACATATTAGAATACTCTTACATTGCAGTTTTTGTATTTTTTATCAAAAATGAGATATTTTCCCGCGGTAAAAAGTATCCTATATGTTGACCCGGATAACCAGCTATCATCATACTAAAATTCATCAAAATCCCTCCCTCCAGTGGTTTTTCCGTGATGCGGTAATAGACAGACTGACAGACAGACAAAAATTCTAAAAACTATAGATTCGGCCTCTGTATCGATAATAATGCCTATTTCAATAAGATTTACCAAAAAATATTTAATGTACAGATTCGGCATAGTTACAATTTTATTATATGTATAGATGTCACGAAACTAACATTCTATCATTTCCCTATCTCGTTTCTTTAAATACAACATTAATAATATGTATCAAGTTTAAAGCTAAAAATAGAAAAGATGAATGTATACGGGGTCCCCATTCAGGTCGACCCAGTTTTGGCGCATCGATTCAGCTTTCCGGGGTTGAATGGGGTCTGACGTCACCGGAAGTAGATCAGGTTGTGCAAGTGTAGAACTGGGTCAAATGGTGACCCGGGACCCGCCCTATGCAACAGCCCCTCGAGGTACTGACGTCATTGAACAGGGGAGTGTCGCATGAATAAAGGCGTGCTACGTTCATGTAGCGTTAGTGGAATTTGTTTTATAATTGAGTAAGCTCGAATTATATTCTCTGATACAAATATTAAAAATAATTTATTTATTTTAATACAGTTCTAAATCTACGTGTTCTATAATTTTTTATAACAACCACTATCAATTATGACTACTTATAAGCATTATGGTATTTGACATATTCCGAATGTTGTTCTCGAAACTTTATAGAATACAGTTTTTTATTAGGATAATTCCTATAAATAAAGATAAAGAACAATATTATACAACTGTAAGTTTGTTTGAGTGATCATTTACAAGCATGTTATAGGTAAAAATAAGCTTCCTGATCAATGTTAATCCCTCCACGACCGCGGACACACCGGCGTGTCAGTTAACAATAGATTTCTTAGAATTTTAATTAATTTCATAGAAATTTACCTGGAGGTGTTAAGCATAAAATACTCTGTAATATCAATAATATTCATGTAGTACTTAATAGAAAACTTTCCAACCAACTCTTTCGCCAGACAACGCTAGTGAAGCACAAGGCTGCAAGTAGTTTCATCAATGAAACCGCGATGCGAAATATCAATGGAGCTTCGAGAATGGGATTTGACCCGGTCACTGCGTCTGTGTGCGCGCTAAAGCTTTCGATGTGTGCGTTCGTTGCCAAAGACACGAGTGGTGTTTTGCGATGTTATTATCTATATAATCTCGTGTATTACCAGATCTTTTCAAAGGAGAGTGGAAAAATCGTAAACGTCTATTAGAGAAGCGCGTTCGCTTGTATTATCGTTATAAATAACTAACTTATGATAATTGCTAGTGGTAATGCTATTATATGAAAATTTTATGTATATTATATAGTATATTTAAACAAGCAATCTGGGAAAACGCGTGTTTTCCAATTTTCATGCGGTTTTCTTTCGTATTATTCCACGCAAATGAAACGTATATGATGAAATTTATATTTGTTTTTTTTTTGTATTTATTGAAGTTTTTAGTTTTTTTTTAAATAAAATTGTACTTTTGACTAAAAACTCCGAGCGAAGCTTGGTGGCCAAGGTACTATATGTAGTTAATTGTTGTTAGCACATAACACAGCACATTTTATTGCACACTTTAAAGTATAAATATAGATAAGAGTATTTAAAAGCTAAAAATATAACACTCTTTCGGACTTTGTATAAAAACCTAGAACAGCTTAATTAACTAAATTTACCCACTCTAATTTCGATGATATTAGTGGGCAGAAATCCAAATGGCATATTTCATGGACTAGGTCGACTTAATATGAATGAATCAATTTGAAATATGTATAAAGAGATTAAATGTTATATTACAAAAAAAAACATATTGCTCATCACTTCATAATGAATCTCGAAAGAGCACAAGATTATCCGCGACTCCGCCCGCGTTCTGAAGACCAAAAATCAAGTTCTTAGGTTTTACATATTAGTATACTCTTACATTGCAGTTTTTGTATTTTTTCTCAAAAATGAGATATTTTCCCGAGGTAAAAAGTATCGTATATGTTGACCCGGGTAACCAGCTATCACCATACCAAATTTCATCAAAATCCCTCCAGTGGTTTATCTGTGATGCGGTAACAGACAGACAGAAAAAATTCTAAAAACTATAGATTCAGCCTCTGTATCGATAATAATGTTTATTTCAATGAGATAAGAATTTTATTATATGTATAGATGTTCAATGTGCTCGATCGGACGGAGCTGGGCCAAGCTGTTAGCGAATACATAAATCGTTAAATTACTAGAACACGATACAGGAAGTTCTTATACATAATAATAGCATACTAGAGCTGTAATAGCGCCACATGTGCTGACAATGTAAACACTTCTGGAACTTTCTCAGCAAGATTAGAAACAAACCTCAATATTTCCTTTAGACATATTATCCAACATTACATTGTACGTGATCGTGAGAAAATTTTCCAAGGTTTCATTTTACCTATAAATTTCATAATGATGAATTTTTATATGCAAATGAACTATCAATGGGTTACAATTGAATTACTATTCGTCTTTAGCAATATTCAGTCATAATATTTTCAAACTAGCGTTTAGGTTTTTTTTTTTAAGTTATTGGTCTACTATTCAAGATATAAGCGTAATCTATATATATATATATATATATATATATATATAAAAGGCAAAAGTGAATGACTGATATATCAACGCACAAGCCAAATCCTTAAGGCTAGAAAATTGAAATTTCGCACACGTATTCCTCTTATGACGAAAGCATCCACTAAGGAAGGATTTTTCAAAATTCAACCCCCAAGGGGGTGAAATAGGGGATAAAAGTTTGTATAAAAATTCCTTGGGCATATTTGCATGAAATTTGGTATGAATTGAGTACGGCAAAAATAATGAGTTACGTATTTCAGCGTTTTCTAAAATTCAACCCCTAAGAGGGTAAAATAGGGAATGAAAATTTTAAATAATCGCACAGGCCAAATACTTAGGACTAGCAACTAAAAAAATCGCACGTGGTATTTCTCTAATGACGTAGGCATCCACTAAGGAAGGATTTTTTTCAAAATTCAACCTCCAAGGGCGTGAAATAAAGTGTGTATTGCATTGTATTGCAAAAAAGTGTCTTATTGGTAGTTTGATCGCGGGCGAAGCCGCTGGTTCTGCTAGTGTTAGATAAACTGTAAACTTCCTTAATAAATCAACTAATGAAATCAAATTAGTGGTAGTTCTGAGGATTAGCACGTTCGTACAAACAAACATCATATGTATATACTATAGTATATTTAGTATAGATGATGACTATCTAGGTATATGATACTCGTATAATGAGTTTTGTTATGTTAGATACTAAATAAGTTTCCTAATCGTATTGACTTTAACACAAAAGTTACTCCCTTGTAAATTTTCCAAAATTTGTAAACTTTAACGGTAACAAGGTCCTATATGTATACTTTAAAATAACATTTGAGTTCGTGTTGTTTTTAAAAATGTGGGCCCATTATACGCTTAGCTCTTACCTAATGCATGGAAAGCCGTGACGTCACGTCCAAAAATAAATCGACCTTCGCGCGGTGACGGAAAACTGCTGAGTTCATACCAGCTGCTATATAAAACGTGGATAAAAGAAAGATTGATGCTTTCACATTCTAACAAACTACTTAAAATATATACATTTTTCATTTTCATTTTTAATTTGTATGCATATAAAGTTAATAGACATTAGGTCGGGAGTGTACGCTCACAATTGTCTGACAAGATTATTTATGGACACTAAACCTTAATCTTCTTTAAAATTCTAAATACTTAACGTTTCGTTCCTTTAATATATTGTGGTTTTTGTGAATAATAAAATAATAATGAGATTATGAATGAGTACTGTATATGAGAGTTCTATACAAACTTTTGGCAATACAACGAGATATTTCATGTTTATCATCGCACATACGATTTACGACTCGCCGGACTTTGTGAAGTGGGTAAGAATCGGCAATTTGCTGGCTTGTTATATGTTAAATATTTATAAGTGAAGGATAAAAGTTTGGTTTATCATCGTAATGTTAGGTTTTAGATTCCATAACTAAAGCTGTATTTGGCCACTTATGTATAAAATGGACAATTCATTAAAACAACCTGACTCGTTTTTCGTTCAATTCTACAAACGTAGTATTTTTAAAATTTCAATTTTATTTGTTAATATTTGAGTTCATAAAAAAATCCTATCATAAAAGATCTTTCATTTTTCACCGAATGTTCCAATGTCTGAGCAACTTTATCAAATTTCACCTCTAAAAATCTTATTCGGACTATTAGGTACATATTAAAATAAAAATTAGCAAAAGTTGTCCCAAAGTTCACAAGTGATGTGCTTACCAACGTACAGAATTTCAAATTTATTTTATACTAGCGACTCACCCTAGCTTCGCTCACGTTCGTCCCTAGGTTGCTCCCCATACAAACTTTCACCCCCATTTATACCCCCTTAAAGGATAATTTTAGGCATAAAAACTATACTATCTTCCCAGGGTCTCAAACTATCTTCTTACCAAATTTCATCTAAGTGGGTTCAGTAGTTTCAGAGACTATTCGGTACAAACAAACAAAAAAATCTTTCCTCTTTATAACATTAGTAGGTAATAGGTATAGATATTTAAAGAGACTAGCCTCATAAGAAATATGTTGTCGTGGTATATG